TAATGAGAAGCTGTTTTTCATGGCAGAAATACACTCGGAGGTTTGCCATTGCCTGCCGAGTAGAGTGGTCCAAAAAAATAAAGTCGGAGTTTTAATGCCGGCACACACTAGGATTGATCTATATCGAAAAAATATACCCCTACTTTTTTATTTTGAAATCAAAAAATATTTAGGGGGTGCTCAAAGCGCTCAAAGTTTTCCATGTATTTTATATGGAGAAAAATCAATTTTTCGTAGAAATGGTATAAAATTATTGAAAATCAATATTTTTCGACCGGAAAACTGTGGTTCTCGTCAGGAGCTTCCAGTATTAATATCCAATTGTTTATTTAACCATTTTTTATGATTAAAGATTTTTCCATTGCATTTTCTAGGGGTTTTAGAGGACCTATAAAATATAGTTACTATGAAAAAATGGTTAAAGAGACAATTGCGTATTATTACCGGGAATCTCCTGAAGATAAGAAAAGTATTCCGATCGAAAAATATTGATTTTAAAGAATTCTACACTATTTCTACGAAAAGTTGTTTTTTCTCCATATAAAATGCATGGAAAACTTTGAGCGCTTTGAGCACTACCTAAGTTATATTTTATTTCAAAATAAAAAAAATATGGGTATATTTTTTTCGGTATATAACAATCATAGGGGTGGCGGCATTAAAAATCCGACCTTATTGTTTTTACATACATTTTTGGACCACTTTACTGCCGAGGGGCGACAGCTGGTAAGAAAAAACTTTTTTTCGATGTTGCTTTGATCAGGGCTTGAACCCAGGCGCTGCGGAGTGGAAGCGCACACTGCTTACCACTATACCATAGCGGCCGCCAACTTAGACTTACATTCTATTATTTATTTAAACTTTTGGTTGATTGCGGACCTTACAAGTTATGTTTATTTCTTTGCTTTATTGTCACTAGGCCCTGAAGAAGACCAAAATAATAATAATTTCTTGCAAAATTTTTTTAGTTTCACTTTTATTTCAACATATTTTGATTAAAAGAAAAATACTGATAAAAATAAAATTTTTCATATAAACAGGGTTGAAGTCTTGAAATTCCTGCCCGTAGTTTGTTTGTAAGTCAAATATGAGTGGCATTGTGCTACCATGATAGCACGGCCGAGTAATCATAGCCAAATTATGTACAGTAGTCGGAAAAATTATATCCGCACCAAATTTTGAAAAGTTTCAAAATATGTTTTTTGTTGTTATTTAATTTCGATTAGTTTTTTATAGTTCGTTCTTTACCAACATCCATATAAATACAAGTTTATTTGCTAAAATTTTATGTAAATCGTATCCCAATTGTTTGAACATACAAAATATTTTTCACTATCCCCATCACGAAAATTAATTTATTAAAATTTTTCAATAGAACATCGCTGTATTGTACCAATCTTATGAATGCAAAAAAAATGTCCTACTTTTTTTTAGCAATAGCCCAATATAAAAATTTACAAATCTGTACAAATGTACGAATCGAGTGACACTGCCTTATAAATTTATGCAATTAAAAAAAAACAACAAATTTTCGTTAAAATTTCGAGTTTTTTAATTAAATTCTGAGTATCCAGTTTTATAGCCCATTGAAATCAAGTAGAATAAAGTACACGTTTCAAATGGCAGAAAATGTCGATTAATTTTTAGAATTTTTAAAAGTTCGAAATTTGTATGAAAGTTTGTTGAATTTTTTTTTTAATATTGCACAAATGAGTAGGCCACTTGCAAACAGCGTTATGTGATTTTATAATAGTGATCCATAAATAAAAAAAAAACCGTCTACAACAGCAAGTAACATCCAAATTGTATATTTCTGTTTATTATCTGAAAATTTGGATAAACAAGATCCTAATAACATTAAAAAAACAATATGACAATGTGGTAGTTTTTGCAAATTTTATATATAAAAATTTAATATAGCGAGTTTTGAAACAGTAACTTTTACATAGCTATCTTTTGTTTTGCTTTTCGCGTTCGCTCTTCCATGAAGATTGGTCTGCTTCTTTTTTACGACGCCTTCCACTAGGCACCGAAACTACCACGTTTTCTTGCAATTTTCGAAGTTCATCAGAAGATGGAGACTTTTGAAAGTGTATAAATAAGCATTATAGCGACTTTTGCAATAGTAGTTAACATTTTATGCTATTTTTTCAGAAAATATAAAGATTTTGTACTGTATTGTTAGTGGACATGAAACTACTTTAAATACTGGTACGTTACTCACCAAAAACTAAAAATCTAAAAAAAAATTTACATAGCGCCTTTGCAAGTGGACTGCTCAAATTTGGAAACATGAATTTCCACGGGTTTTGTTAAAGAACGAACTATATTTATACCCGAGCGCACTTGTGCACTGTTATATACGTTGTGCGTGAATACGCACTGTTATATACTTTGTATGTGAACATGCTCCTATACTAATTACTACTTTGGTAAACGCACTCATGTACGATTACTATGGAAGGGAACGCACCCATGTAGATATACATACACATAATCATAAGTTCTGCTGAATCGAGAAAAGAAAGAAAAGAGATATAAAACGTGTTTTTACCAAAAACACAATAAGTGGCGACGAGGAGAAAAAAAATCCACAAATTTCGCGGTCATCGTTTTGTTTTAAACCACAATAACGTGAAGTAATCACGAATATACATTGTAAAACAAAGTACACTACAAATTTCAATTGAAGGAAAAAGATGACCAACTACGCCGTTTTCGAGAAATTCGACAAGGCAACAATGCAATGGTCTCGTTGGGTGGCACGTTTTGAGGAGACTGTAACGATGCTTGAAGTCTCCGAGAAAAACAAATCATTGCTGCTTATTTACATGGGGCAAGAAACATACGACATGCTGTATGACAAATTAGCCCCAGCAACACCAGCGGAAAAAACTTACGCGGAAATAAAAAGAATCATCTCTGACGTTTACGATCCAGCACCATTAGAGATAATGGAAAACTACGTAAATATGAGCACTACGGTAAGTCCAGATATGAAAATATATGTAGTGGAGTCAAATAGAAAACCACTTCTGGGACGGGAATGGTTACGTAAGTTGAAGCTGGATTGGAACCAGATTTTTAACGCGGACTACAATGCGCAAGTGGTTTCATCACTCCATAAGCATCAAGTATCGGGGAGGATAGATTATTTGAAACGAAAATACTCCAAAGTATTTGAAAAATCGATGGGTAAAATTGAAAACGTACAGGCACGTATCCGTCTACAGGCGAATGTGGAACCGATCTTTATTAAAGCAAGAAAGCTACCGTTTGCATTACGTGACGCGGTGGAAAAGGAGCTCGAAGATTTGGAAAGGAATGGCATCATAAAGAAAATCGATTCAGCCAAATGGGCTACACCCATCGTACCAGTTAAGAAGCAAGGCAACAAAGTGAGATTGTGCGGCGATTACAAAATTACAGTGAATCCGCGCATAGTTGTTGAGGAGCATCCACTTCCAACAATTGAAGAGCTTTTTGCTTCCATGGCTGGCGGACAAAAGTTTTCAAAGATTGACCTCACCAAAGCCTATTTACAATTAGAAGTTCACCCGGATGATCGGGAAATTTTAACGCTCAGTACACATCGCGGGTTATATCAACCGACAAGGCTAATGTATGGCATTTCGTCAGGACCAGCGAAATGGCAGCGAGAAATCGAGCAAATTCTGAAGGATATAGACGGGGTGTCGGTATTCTTGGATGACATAAAAATCACTGCACCAAACGATGAGATACACTTACAGCGCCTGGAACTCGTTTTGTCTCGTCTCAACAAATACAATATGCGTGTAAATTTTGAGAAATGCATATTTATGGCAAACGAAATTGAATATTGCGGATACAAAATCGACCGTTTTGGTATACACAAAGTACAAGCGAAAATATACGCAATTACACAAATGCCACATCCAGCTAATAAAGAGCAAGTCCGTGCATTCATAGGGTTGGTCAACTATTATGGCCGATTCCTGGCAAACTTGAGTACAACTTTATACCCGCTGAACAATCTACTCAAAGATGATGTGAAATTTATTTGGGACAGTGATTGCAAGAGGGCTTTTAACGAAGTGAAAAAGCAAATACAAACAAAGATGCATCTCGCGCACTACGATCCGAAACTACCATTAGTGCTTGCTACGGACGCAAGCCCAGTAGGTGTTGGGGCTGTATTAAGCCACATTTACCCCGATGGAAGCGAGAAACCAATACAGTTTGCATCGCAAACTCTATCACCGGTACAACGACGGTACACGCAGATCGATCGTGAGGCGTACGCGATTATCTTTGGCATCCGAAAGTTCTACCAATACGTTTACGCTCGGAAATTCATCCTTATAACGAATAATAAACCACTTGCACAAATTCTATCACCAAAAAAGGGGTTGCCGACACTGTCCGCTACGCGAAGGCAGCATTACGCCATCTTCATGCAGTCATTCGACTACGACATTCAATATCGCAAATCATCTGAGCATTCAAATGCGGATGCACTTTCTCGACTACCGTTAGCGGAAATCAATAAGAAAAAAGAAGAAATCGAAATAACCGAGATAAATGCGATCGAAACACTACCATTATCGGTAGAAAAACTACGAGAAGCGACAATGAAGGACAAGACAATTCAAGAATTAAAGAATGGACTGATGAAAGGCTACACCGTAAAACCTGAACAACGCTTCAACATAGATCAAACAGAGTTTACAATTCAACACGACTGTTTGTTGCGAGGATTACGCGTATACGTACCCGGAGAGTTACGAAGCCAAGTTCTAGATGAACTACACATAGCACATTTCGGCATTACTCGTATGAAAGCATTAGCACGAAGCTGCTGATGGTGGCCGAAAATAGACGCAGACATTGAAGGCATTGCAAGAAATTGTTCGCAATGTCAACGTACTCGAGCAAACCCAGTGAAAATTACTTCACATGTGTGGGAGGCGGCCAAATTTCCGTTTCAACGTGCACATGCGGATTTTGCTGGACCTGTCATGGGGAAATACTTCTTTCTCCTAATTGACGCGTATACTAAGTGGCCAGAAGTTTATACTATACCAAACATTACTACGGCTATAACTATTGATAAATGCCGCGAAATATTTTCAAGATTTGGAATTCCTGAAGTTTTAGTAAGCGATAACGGATCGCAATTTACATCCGAAGAATTTCGTCTCTTCATGGAAAAGAATGGCATAATACACAAACGAAGTGCACCGTATCATCCCTCCACGAACGGGCAAGTGGAACGGAATGTCCAGACATTAAAAAACAAATTGAAGACAGTAAGTTGCAATCATTCCGACATCGATAAAGTAGTATGCAACATTCTACTAAATTATCGTCGAACTCCACACGCAACAACGGGCGAATCACCAGCGTCGTTAATGTTCAATCGCCAAATTCGTTCTCGTTTAGACATAATGCTACCAACAACGCTTTTACCAGAAAATCCGAAATGCGAAATGAATTCAAAGCTACGTAGACTACAAGTAGATGACCGAGTGTCAGTTCGAGATTATACAAGCACAGAAAAATATCAGTTTGGCATTGTCATTGAAGTGCTGGGGAAGTTGCATTATAACGTTAAACTAGACGACGGTCGCATTTGGAAACGACATATCAATCAGATTCATAAAATCGGCTCTATTAAACCAACTTGGGAAGACCAAATGAAGTACGACTACGGCGACCCTGGACCCGTAACACACACGCATACGCAAACACCACAACAGCTCACCACAATTCCGGCACAAGACGAAGAACAAAATATAACAAACGCGACACCAATCGTTACTGGACCTGCTCCGATTCCGGAACGTAGACCACAAAGACAAATAATGCCGCGCAAAATGTTAACGTACGATGAAGAGTTCAATCAAGTACCAAACTGAAATAATAATACAAAAAAAAAAAAAAAAATTATACATATATATATATGTACATAGTAGAACAATAATTTTCTAATATGTACACAAACATGTAAAATTAATTTGATTTTAAATATCGAACTATGTAAAAGAGTAGAGATTAGCTTCCCGTAAAATTTGAATTCGCCCAGTAAATATCCATATAGATAAACATGTATATTTAAGCACTATGTACAAAGTATCGTTATACCATTAGAAGGCAATTCAAATTGAGAGGGGAAAACTGTCATATACGTTGTGCGTGAATACGCACTGTTATATACTTTGTATGTGAA